TCTTTTTCAATTGCTGATTTGAATTCCCAGACACCAGGGAATGTAGTATTAGGCTTGTTAGAAATATGTCTCATGTTTATTATTAGTATGTTTGGTATAATTTAATTCCAGTTGATGCACTAATCCATCAATATCTATGGCGTAATGAAGATATGCAGTAGTGTACAGAGCCAGCACAGCGTTCATTACCTACCATTCAACAAGAAAATAGTGGAGAGAGAGAGAGAGAGAGAGAGAGAGAGAGAGAGAGAGAGAGAGAGAGACAGAGACAGAGAGACAGAGGGAGGGGCAAGCCAGGAAATTGGGGAGGGAGAGAGGCGGAGAAGGAGTAAGAGAGAGATGGCAGTGGAAATTAATTTGCATCACTTAAACATCCAACTACTTTGCCAGTTAGCAGTCTGCCAGTAGAATTAGCAGATAAACACACAACGAGATCCAGCTCTTCACGCCCGTGCAATAACACTAATTGCAGAATACGAGAGGCATGCATCATGCGAAATGATGCGATAATAGCGTGTGGTCAATTGGCTGCGTAAACTTGTATGGATTTTAATTTTGTGCGTGAAGTAATTGGTCTCAGTGAGTATATGCGCTGTGTGTGAGCATTGTTCTTGGATGGAGGTCAATTAGCGACGATGAGGATCACTTGACGGGTTGAAACTGTCACTAGATTATGTATGGAGGTGATTACAAGAGAGAGAGAGAGAGAGAGAGAGAGAGAGAGAGTGAAAGAGAGAGAGAGAGAGAGAGAGAGAGAGAGTGAAAGAAAGAGAGATAGAGAAAGAGAGAGAGAAAAAGAAAGAAAGAGAGAGAGAGAGAGAGGGGGGGGGGGGTAGTCCAACAAAATGAGGGGAAATTGAACAAAAAGTGTGGATAGAAAACAGTATACAAAGTACACTGTATAAAGTATATTAATTGTGCATGAAATGGTTTGATGATTGTAGAGGTGTTATAGTCTAGTCAGAATCAATGACGACAGACAGACATAGAGAGAGAGAGAGAGAGAGAGAGAGAGAGAGAGAGAGAGAGAGAGAGAGAGAGAGAATAAAAATGAAAGAAGGATATACAGAAGAAGAGAAGGAAAAAAAAGAGAAAGAGAGACAGAGACAGACAGAGATATGATGGCTGGATTGAACTATCATGGCTACTATTGATTTCTACATTACATCACTGCTGTTGACAATTTTTGTCATGCGGAGATCCGGGAGTTTTGATTGGGCAGTTTACGCAGCCCAGCAGGTTCTGGCTTGCTCACCCTAATACGCCATCACAATCGACTGTCCTCTCAGCCAAATTGAAAGCACGCTTAATGAGGAGCATGAGGAAGAGATCGGTGAGGGAGATAAATAATGGGATGATAGGTATCGCATACATTAATAGAGCTTCTTCATTTACGGGAGTCGATCGTTGGCTGTTTGTGACAAGGACACGTATGACTGCAGCGGTATGTGATAAGCTCTTTGTAGCTATGGGAATTATACACAGCGCAGTAATATCCAGACCGTGCTAGTTTTGTTCCTTTACATATGTGTAAATGTGATTGTTGCTGCTCGTGCACGTACATTGTATGTATTCAGGTATTGTGTCCACATATAAATGTTGAATGGAATGTGGATGTTTGTTTGGGGTGAAAAGGGCTGTCTGTTTGTGATGTAGTCTGTTAATAAGGGCTCTTTCATTAATGACATCATCTTAGTGATTATCCTTTCGGGTAAATTTATAACTGGACATCAGTTCCATGGCTTCCTCGAAGATGATATTTACTATTTACTGCTTTAATTGAGGTGAGGTACCTACCCACTGTATGTACCGGTAAATACAAAGTGAATTTTTAATTTTCTTCATACTAATAAATAATAATTGCATCCGTTGAATGCCAGAAGGACATTAAGGCTGTGTTAATTGATACCAGTATGAGCCATTGTACTTTAGATTTGACAATTTAAAGCATGCTGCATACTATGAACTCAAGAAAGGTACAAGTTATTTACTTCCCAAACTGGAGAGAGTCAAAATTATAAATTTTTGTCAATATCTCATGCAGGTGGATTCTATTTTCTTGTCTACCATTAATTCTGTCTGTCTGGATCCTCTAGAGGATTAACTCTGTGTTAAAGTGTATAAGTTTAACAGGTTGTTCCAAACAGTCTGTTTAGAGCTCAAAAGACATTAAATCATACCGTTTCAGATACAACTAAATGTAACGTCCCTCTGGCTCTCTGCAGATGATATAATGGTAGCTGTGAAAGTAAACTCGGACAAATGAATGGTGCTACTAGGAGCAGATCCTACTCAAACAGACGGGCGTATTAAAGCATGCATGCTCATTTAGTTTGGATTGTCTGAAGACTGATATGGCCATCTGCTTTCGTTTGAAAGAAAAAGGACCTGCCATTGCCAATCCAGGATACGATTCTCCAAGGTCTTGATTTTAATATCTTCAGCCATTGTCCAGTCTGCAGTCTGTGGGCAGATCGAGAGTTTCGGTTTCAGAAAGAACTACACGTATGATATAGAAATAACACCATATTGTATTTGTATCTTATTATATCTATAAGCAGTGCTTTGATATACATCCTGCTATGATGAGGAAGAACCAAGAAGGTATTTTGTCCAAGATAATGTATCTGTTTAGAGCCTGATTTGATGTCCTTCTGGCTTTCAATATTTATGTCAACACTAGAAATCATCAATATCAGATATCAGATATATGGAATTACAGTAATTGCAAATATAGGGTAATACAATTATTAGAGTTGTTATTGGTTTTCAGATTCATTTAAAGAACATAAACTGGTACAGTTTTAAAAATAAATATATATTTTTGATGTCTATGCTCAATAAATGACCATATTTCTATAATACATACATGTCCTGTAAATTGGGATGTGTATTTAACTCTTTCTTGAACACCTGCAATTTGGTTCTCAACCCACAATTTTTTAATGAACCAAACATTGTAGATAGAGAAATTTATTCGCTATGGCCTTTTTTAAAGATTATTGTTACTCACAAGTCACAACACAAGTAAAATATATACATTTGCAAATATATATGCTTTTAAAATGATCACTCACAGTTTATAAAAAAACATTTGATGTTGTATTTGAAAGTGTATGGTATTCATAAGAAATTGCTATTCTGATATAGATTAGGTATCCTAGGTATAGTATAGTCATCTTTGATACTGCATCATTTCAAAGTCCACTCTTCCCAGTGCTTTGCATTCACATGAGTGGTTTGCCGAGTTCTAACATTAGTATTGAGAGGATTAACACACGTTCTCAATGGGTGCAATTCCCACGGTCGCTCTCTCGAGTCACTGACTGTGTTAATAGCCGGCCGTCTGAATCACTGGTCTAGTTGATTAAGACTGATTAGGATCTCGTTCATCAGATCAACGGCCTTTGTCTCTATTCCATCCAGGCCATTGACTTTGGCTTCTCTCTCCGTATCAGGTTTTATGAACTTCAATTAGGAGCTGATCCATGAGGGTACTTCAATTTCATGAGCTTTTCACCCTGACATATGTGGAGAATTAGGTCCGCTTATATCTAGCTGGTGGGACGGGAATTATGGGGTATAAGTAACGGGTTGGCAATTTTTTTCTTCTCTATATGTTATAGTTTTATATGAAGCTATAAAAGCCTGGCAGTAGGATTTTTTTGTTTTTGATGTGATATATTACATATTAATTGTTAATTGATTGAAGAAGATGTCCATGCAACCACTTGTTGAGTTTCTTTTATTTTTCTATTTTTTTAAAGGTATTTTGATAAATATAATCTTTGAATGTGTAAGGTGTAAGCATGGTATATATATATTAACTTCTGCATTTTCCTGGAGAGTTAATGCCCTTCTAGCTCATAACGAATGGGGTTAAATACATCAATTTGTTTTTATGTATGAGGACAAATTTAATTATTTCATTTATTGCTGGAGGGTCTTCATTGAGATAAAAAGGCAACAAAATTATTGCTTTATGATGCATTTTAACGTTGCACTTTGCACCTCTAGAAAGAGAGATTAATACGAATGAAACTCCTGCATCCCTCATATCATCCTATCCTGTGAAAGAACCTGTTTTTGCCATCAGATGATATTCTGTTGCGATTGATGTATGTTTATGACTTGCAGCAGTGTTATTGAAACTCATATGTCAACAGACTATCATCAATATTGAAGAGAGCTTGGTAGAGAGGAGGATGGGTCATATCCGATCTTGAATCATAATGAAGCAAGAGCTAGCGCAAAATAGAGATCCTCTTTTTTCATCTCCCCAGCGTAAATTGCTCTTGGAGCTCGATACAGGTATAATTGCACCGAGCAGGAAGCCTGAGCGAGTGTGTAGTTCAATACATGGTCAGGAGCGCTGTTGGGTAGCTAGGGCTCGCCTAATAAACTGCCACACCATCCCTTGGGGAAGCTACGTGTGAAGTCAGCCTTGGTGACGTTGCGCCCAGTCAAAAGGCAATGCTGGTTAGTTGTTTCTTTGTCTGTTGCTTTTTCTGGGACAATTTCCACCAGTTTTCCTCTGCTCTGCTTCCTCTACAGAACGGAGATCATGTTTCTGGCTGTCAGAAAACCCAGAGTGCATTGACTCTTTCACAGTAGAATAAATAAGTATTGTAGTAACAGCAATTAGCAGGAGAAAGACGTGTGGATGCAACCGTGTATTATTGGTTTATTGAAAATGGTCATTGTGCAGACCATTTCTCATTCATTGATTTATGATTGTAGTCCAATATCATAGCTTGACATTTGAGATGGGATGTAATGAATATTATCCTTATATTATCATGTTGACTATCTTTCTTCATACTTCTTTTTATCCATAATAACAAAACCTGTTTGTTCATGTTTTATATCTGAATATTTTTCAGTTCTATGACAGCTAACATTTATGTGTCTTACCTATGTTGCTCTTCATGAGTTTTGCTTGAGGGAAAAATCATATTATTAATTTGTACTTGTTTATTTTGTCTTTTTCTTTGTATTAGATTCAACATGCAAGAATAGATCCAGGGACTGAACCTGGAGACGTCACAAACAACAATAACAACTCGCCAGACAAAGAGACATCTCGTCAGGACCGCAACGCCAAAAGCAGTGCCCCATGCCACCAAGCCAAGGAGGGCACAATGGAGAGCTGTGTGGGACTACAGCTTCAGTTTGACCATAGTCATGCTGCCCATGGAGATGAACCTGTCCAGGTGTCCCTTGCCGATGTTGATGCGGTCGTCAATGCTGATGTCGGTACAAGTGCCGCAAATGGGATCACCCTCACGCAATGCGAGGGGGTCATGGTCCAGGCAGGAGGCAACGAAGAGACCAACAATGCCCTCTTGCAGGAAGTCGATGACAACCTCCTGCAGGCCCTTGTCAACTCGGGTGCAACGGAACAGCTGGAGATGGAATCCTTGGCTCATTCGCTTATGAATGACTCTCTAGCGTTCTCGGAAGCAGAGATCCAGCAGCATTTGCAGACGGATAATATCAACGTGGAGTACTGCAAACAACTTGGCAATGGCCAGACTGTCAACAATATGGGCGTCATGGGAATGCCTCCTGTAGCTATGATATCTCAGTCATTAACTTCCCAGACCCCTGGTGCAATGGTTGCCCAGTCATCTCTAATGGGGTCCAACCAGCAGCAACCACAGCAGCAACAAGCATCCATGCCAATGAAACAGAACCACAGCAACCAACAGGACAACGTGCAGGTTCCTTCAAATGCATATGACATAGACACCAGTATGATGATAGAATCAGTTCTTGAAGTGCGAGAAGGGGAGGACGCGACTACAGCTTTAGTGACTCCCCCTGCTCAACAGCCAGGCTTTGGATACCAGTCTTATGCACATAATTTTGGAGCTGATGCACTTGTAAGTGAAAAAGAATCTGATAATACTCCTAATGCAACAAGTGATGAACAAGACCAGGAACTGTTTGCCAAAAGGATGTGCCAAATGCAAGGAGGACTTGGATCAGAATATACTGTTGCTACTGGGTACAGTCCTAAAGTGAAACAGGTCTATCAACATCAAGGTCAGTATGGCCAGCAACAAAGTCCGAAAGCTGGCACCAAAGCAAAAAAGTCAAAAATTCCAACTCAGTATCCCAGTCAGTCGCTCACCAGTGATCTCACACTGTCAAGTCCATCAGCAACAAATAAAGGAGCAACGCCGACCAAGAACCATTCAGTCTCAAAGACAAAGGAGGTTAGCAAAACTAGTAAAGTTAGGACAAAAGACAAACATGTGGTATCCACAAAGAAATCTGAAATAAATCACAAAAAGTCGCCAAAGCAGAGCATCAAAGTTGTATCCTCCCCCAAATTGCATAGCAGTACCAAACCCAAACATAAAGAACACAAGGGACACAAAGGCACTAAGTCACCTTTGGTATCTCCAGTGTCATCAGAGAGCAGCAACAAATCTACGAAAAAGAACCACAAGAAAGTTGAACAGTTTGTCACCTCATTAACGTTGAGTTCATCAGACGGGGACAGTAGCCCTGTGCAAGAAGGCAAAAGTAAAGGCAGTGCTCACAAAATGAAGAAATCAAAACTTAAACATTCGACACCACCTAGTGGGCAGCCTAAGACCAAGAAAGTAAAAAAGACAATTAGCAAAGTGAAAACAAAGAAAAAATCCAAGTCCATCAGCCCTTCACTCTCTAAGTTAGGATCAAAGAGTGGAAACAGTACTCGTAAGGTCAAAAAGAAGTCTTTGAAATCGAACCCACTAGGGTCAGTGTGCCACAGTGAAAAGTCATCTAGTAGCAACAATTCAAGCCCTGTCTCTTCTAAAAGTGGAAAGGTGAAAAAGAAGAAGGTTAAAAAGATTCACAAAAATAGTGATGGTAGCCTTAAAAAGCTCAACGGCTTGAGCAGGGGTGGTTCTGGAAAGGTAGTTCGAAAGAAGAAAAAGGTAAAAACAAAGGTGTTGAACTCAGATAGTGTGCACTCTTTGATCAAGAGTGGCAGGTTGTCTCCTACAATGGCAGCTTCAGTCCTTATGAACAATATTGACAGTGATGATGACAATAGAGATGTCGGGTATGATAGTAGTACCCAGAAATCCCAAAGTGGGAAGAGTAAAAAGATTGCCCATCTGCCCAAGCTGTCGGTAACCTTACCAACAAGTAGTCTTTCCCATCCAGAACTCTTGCTTAAGACCGTGCCAAAGAACAAGAAGACCACCAGTAAGAAACTCAAACACAGTCATTCAACATCGCCTTCTGGAAAGAGTGATAAAGCTGTGAAAAAGACAAAAAAGATCAAGAGTAAGAATTCAGTGAAGAAGAATTTATTAGGAGGATCTAAGACTCTGAGCCCAACAACTCCATTACACATTGACATTCCTGATACCGAGCATACCTTCACTCCCATCTCTAAACCAGGATTTTCTAATGACACCATAAATAATTCACACAAAAAGGCCAAAACAAGGAAAATTGGAAGACCAAAGAAAAACGCATCCCCCTCGGGTTCCGAGGAACATGGAAAGTCCTCTAATAACAAAAAAGATTCACATGTGTTTGCAGAGCCGGATCATTCTTCTGCCACCGGGTTAGGGAAGGGAAAGAAAGTGAGTGAAAACGGACAGTCAGAAGGACAATCAAAGCATAAAGAACAGACACCTTCCCCGCAAAGTGCCACAACGTGTGTCAGTGAGGAAACCCTCTTTAGTGATAGTGGTATAGGTACTGATAACAACAGCAATCCTGACCAACAGTTAAGTGACAAACACAAAAGGATACTATCTGTCCCACCCGCAACTGAAACTGAAATACCCACCGAGGTTTTGGAATCACATCCTCTAGCTACTTCAGATCATGGACTCTATGGTTTTGGAAAGCGGGAAAAACATAGAAAGTTGAAGCATGCTCAGTGGCAGTTTTTGAATCTGCATTGCAAGAAGAGGAGGAAAAGGTACCACATGTCACGTATGCTTGGTCGTGTTAGTCCAACCTTCCTGTTTGAGATGGATTCTCTAGCCATGCTAATGGCAGAACTTACACTTGCAAGTGTGCAGCAGAGCCCGCATCATCCTAACCTTGCAAAGAAACCAGTAGAGAACTATCTTACGTCTATTGCCAAAATGAACTCGTCTTACAACTCGTATCTTCTCAGACCATCTTACCTGGCTACTGCCTTGAGGTATAAGAAACTCCATCGCTTGAACAAACATCGGAAGAAAAAGCGAGAGCGTGAAAAGAATCGCTTTCTTCAAGATGAGGAAGATGAATCATCCAACCATGTGGACTCTCTTGATTCAGAGCCTGTCTTTGGTATGTTTGATCAAAGCATAATTAGATCTGCAGCCAGTGGAGCACCAACATCATTTGCCATGGCTAGTGCATCTAGCATGAGCATGTCTCGAGTATCTCTAAATAGAGTCAGTAACAGAACAACCAATGCTGAGGCACCATCAGAAGATAGTTCAACACCTATACCTGGTGACAACCTCAACATAAGATCAGTAGCTGATGTTCAGCCATCGACGAAGGTACCTGCTCAGAAGAAAGGAAAGAAGAAACAAATGCCTAAGACATTGCCTGTGAAAGTGAGTTTGGCTAAAGCCAAGGTTTTGAAGAAAAATAGCACAGGAAGGCCCAGAGGAAGGCCAAGGAAAATACCACTTGTTGCCTCTGATGCTGTGGCTGACGATCCTCCTGCATTAGTTTTTCCGATTCCCCATTCTGTTCCTGATCAGGCAATACCAGCCCAGGTGTCTGACCAACCCCTTCCTCAACCAAAGCGAAGAGGTCGTCCTCCCAAAAAGCGTCTTCTCAGTAGTGTGCCAAATACTTTGCCAGTGAAGCTGTCTAAGCCGAAGGGCACTCCCGGGAGAAAGCGGAAAGTTCAAAGTACTATAAATTCGGATACGATAAGTCGTGATACATTGATCTTTGATTCTGCAAGCAGTACTAGTGGTGATGATCACAATATGCCATCTATAACCGCAGGTGATATTATTGATGATAGGACAACTGAAATTTGCCATGTGGACCACCTTGCATCAGATAATTCTATTCATGTTGCAGAGAAGGTCACTAAACAACCCAACAAGATACCAAAGAGGAGAGGCCGCCCTCCTGGAAAATCAAAGACAGCAAATAGCATGAAAAATCAAAATGTGGATGTACCAGCAGAAATACAGACTGTTGCTTGTGCCGAGAAAGAGTCTTTCATTCAAAGTGTTACCATTGCCAAAAGGAAAGGCAGAAAACGAGGACCTAAGAAAGGTTGGAAGAAACTATTGGCAGCAAAATTGGCTGGGAAAACCTCCCAGGAAAAGTTGCCAGATGAAACAGGATGCAGTGAAAATTTGTCAGAAACCGCTCTTCAAACTGAGTCTAGCCCTGAGAAATCTCTTGAAGTACCAAAGTCACCTGTTGAAATGGTGGAAAGTGCCTCTGATTCTTTCATTACTTCTGCCCAAGGTCCTGCAGACCTTGTCTCACCTGACAACAGTTCAGATGAAGAAACACCCACCAAAGTCTCAACAACGAAAGGAACATCAAGAAAAACCGTCCCTGCCAAAGTGGCGACATCAAACAAAAAGGTGTCAAGTAAAGGAGTTTCATCAAAAGGGAATTCAGAAAAAGATGAAAAGACCAAAGCATCACCACCAAACATTAAAAACACAGTTATTCCATCCAAATCAGCATCAAGTACAACTGCACCAACCAAACTATCAAAACATTCAGGCAAATCAACAAAATTACCTGCATCTTGTAAATCAACTAAAATCTCGCCTGCAATTTCCCCTAAAATCTTCGCTAAGAAATTGAAAATGTCTCCCAAAAAGCTCAGATTACTTGAGAAGAAAAAATTGAAGAAGATCATTTCTGGAAAAGTGAAAAAGTCCAAGGAACAAGCTATTAGAAAATTGAATGTTGAAAACCTTGATGAACTCCCAGATGAAGAACCTCTGTCTTTTCTTATTACTGGCAAAATGTCATCGTTGTTAGCCAATCTGACACAACGGACATCTACTGTTGCTTCTTGTACTGACCAGAAGTCATCCAAATCTGCAGAACCTGAAGAAGCACATCCATCAGGATCAGTAGCTGCAGTAGTGCCAGCCGATTCCAAATTAAAGAAGTTATCTGACATGAAAGAAAGTGCTACAGCCGCAAAAGGAAGTATGAACAGTGCAAAAGCATCAAAATCTGATGTTTCTCCACCTGAGACAATCAAAGCAGATACAGAAGATGTCGTCAAGGAATTACCATCAGCTACGACTGCCGTGGAGAGTGCATCCACCCAAGAGCTACAAACCTCCTCCTCCTCCTCCCCTGCCTCCCCAACCAAATCCTTGCCCCCAAGTCCATTCCATCAACTTCGACTCCTGCATCATCTGTCCCCCCTACTACCCCACCCATTCCAGTTGCAATGTCAGAGAGCTCCAAACTCCAGGCAGCATCTCTACCGAAGGCTTATGTCCGGGTAAAGAAAACATCCCAGCAAGTTCTTAAGGTGACCAAGAAGAAGGCTCCAGAGACCTCTGTTGCCAAAGCGACACCTCCTGTGTTGGACGAATCGTCGATCCCCCTCAAGAAGAGGAAGCTGATGAAAGAGCCCCCTCCTCAGCTGACTGAACAGGATCCTAAAGGGTAAGTACTTTGTCATATTACATCTCTTATTTATCACTAGCTCTTTATTCAAGGAAAGTAATCCATATTTTGACCAACACATCAACTAAATCTATCAATCTGAATCTTTGAATTTTTAGAAGAATAAAATAATCCTTTATTTCTTTTCATGTTTTTATGAAGAATGACTAAATAATCCCCTCATGCTAGTATAGATGTGCTTTTAAATGTTGCAAACAGAAACAAAAATGTTTTGACATGAGGTGTTATTTACCTTCCAAATGTTACGTACTGTGGGAAGGTTTAAGGTATATTTGACATCAGAAGCAGTCTGTTGATTTATTCCATTTCATAATCATTCTGGATGAAAACATGTGATTTCAATCTATATTTGATTTAAATATTAATGATATTGAACGAAACTGGAGAAGAGAAGTCAGTAGCATTGTTGAAATTCAAAGAATTATGGTGTTTTCTATCATGGAAATAGAATTTTCAATTGCAAGTGAAAATGTTCAATCAGCTCACATCCATGAATAAGTGGGAGAAATTTTTGGGGTGACAACAAATTGTGATGAAATGGAAGAAAATCTGATCTGACTTTGGTAGTGGATGAATCATCGTCACATGGTGATATTCAATCTACACGTGAGGTATTTTGTTTCAGACCAGACAACGTCTATGTTGTCTTCCTTGAGGTGAACGTTAAAGAAAACACATAAATGTACATATGTGGGACTGTACTCACGGCCAATATGGTATTCCTAAGTCTTTCATCATATCGTAACATATATTAAACATATCGTCTAGGACAATTTGTCCATGCTTGTCCATTACGGTAAAATCTTAAACTGTATGAATGTTTTATTTAGACTAGGGGTTACATGTCAATCCTCAGTAATTATTGGAATATATTGTTGGTCTCAAAATTTAAAAATAAAATCAATTTGAGGTACATCTTAATGATGTAACAATGCTCAACTTAAAAGATTAACAACAAGAAACATGGTGCATTGTAGTGCAATATAGAATATACAATGATTTGAAATACTTAGAACTATGAAAGTGTTGTATCTTAAACCTACTGTCACACTCTTGGTTCTGAAAATAGTTTCCATAGCGCTTAACATTGTTATAATATTCTAAAGTGAAGTTTTCCACCTACTGCTTTACATGGATACATTGACACCAAACACTTTTTCGTCTCAAAAATGTCTCTCCGTTATTAATTTACCCAAGTAAAGTTTATTTCACCAAACTAAACTTCAGAATGATGTTGAAATAATCCCCTCCTGGGCTACAAGGTTAGAGAAATTTGGAGAGAATAATATTGCTCTTTTTGCTCTTCCATCACATTCTTGCCTTTCCTCGACTGCTCCTGGCTTGTTGTTATTATTTTCTCTAGCTTTATGTGTACATATTGGCTTGTGTTTGATTTGTGAAGTTTGGATTTCATTCCCCTCCAGGTTTAGAAGCTTGAATTTAAACTGACCGAGAGGGAAATTCAAAGCTCCATCTCCCAGAGAAAATCGCTCTCTCTTATTTCTCCCCGGCGGGGGATTCTCACCATTTTGACATTACATGGCTGAAAAGTTTTTTCCTTACTTATTCCCTTTTCAACACTTGCAAAGTTCGTTGCCTGACAAAAGAGGTGTGATGTTTTTATTGGACTGATTTGAATACAAAGGCCAGGGAAATGTGCAAAAAGAGAACTAGTTGTGGAATTCTACCGTAATTCAACAGTAATTCAACACACATGTATTTAATAGGATGGGACGGGGGAGAAGTAGTGGTCTGATTGTGTGAGGTATTAGTGCCCATCTATCCTCTTATTACTGTGGGAATCAGAAATGGAATTCCAAAGTGAAATAGAAAAGTTCTTTCTATCGCTGGCTTTCATCATCTCAACCATTTCCGGAATTAAACTGAAACTTATTTTAGTTTTGTTTAGTATAAGGTGCTAGTTTGAACTGCGAAAGCAATTTAAAGAGGTGTAAAGTCAGCATTTTTCCCCCAAGATCACCAAAGAAATGTAAATGATGTATTGAAAGGAAAATATTCTGTGCAGAGCCAGAAATAGGTTTACTCTAGGTTAATGTAGACATGAAGTTAACGCCCTTCTGGTTCCAAACAGAATATAGAGGATCTACGTTATCAAGGAGATGAAACCATCTACCTCTGACAAATGTTGACATAAGTCCTAATGTACTTTTTTTCTTCATGATGGCTTTCCATTCCTTTCATATTTTCTCACAAATATAAATGATAATGATGATTGGGTAGCCACATCAGAATTTGACACCTGGGTAGAGAGTGGCAAATGTGGATTAATGTCTTGCCAAAGGATGCAAGTGCCATGCTGGGATTGGAACCCTCAAGCCTTTGATTAAGAGTCAAGTGAATGAACCACTATACCATGACATTATTTAATGTTTCTATCCACTCCTCTGTGAAAGCAAACTAGGCTCGAGACTATTTCTTTTTTATTGTTGTTCAAAACCTGTCTACGATTTTTTTCTTCTCTGGAAGTATATTAACAAAACACTTCATGGATAAGCCTGCTGTGATAAAAGTACTCTATTTCTAATCCAAACAGTTTTTTAAAATTAGTTACTTCGAAACAAGAATTGAAGTTTGTGAAAATGTATCTTGGGGCAGTAGTTAACCTCCTTGTTATTGCAATAACAGTAATTCTCTTGTTTAAAAGAAAAACATTCTGTCTGAATATTTTTTACCTCCATAGTTTTCTTTGAAATGTCCTTGTCTCATTCATAGAACCATTCGTGAAATCCTTGTCACAATGACTTGTTTTGATGTTTAAGTTTGTCCTTTATTTGTTTTTAGTACATTGAACCACAGGCTTCTTTTCTTCAAGTTTATTGAACCAGGATTATTTGAATCCTCATATTTAAAAAAAGATATTAAGCAGGTTTTTATTGTAATTTTTCTTTTCTCCATTTGAATATAGCTACTGCATCTCTTTCATCAGTCAATTTACCACATAAAGAAATTTTGTAGACAGATGATTTCTTTTCAATCAAATATCGTCTAAAAAGATGAAGGAGATCTCGATTAATACTTCTCCTTTTCTTTTTTTTTCTGATAAAAATCTTTGTAATAAAATGCCTCAAATGCTTTCAGTGGTTAATGATAGATGATTAGTTTTTGGTGTTAACAAAAAAAAAGAAACATTATGCGTCGCTGACAGAGAGAAATTGCTTGCGATTACCGCTTTATGCACACCACCAAGCAATTATTGAGGGAAAATGGTGAGCCATTTTTGTTCTTTGCTATCATTTCATCTTGAGAGCTCTTAATTGAGGGGTGTGTATTTCTGAGTACGGAAATGCCTCGGAGGGCTTGCGGATTCTCTTTCCTCCTCAGTGGTCGAAGGATCTTTCCTGCTCGACAGATAAGTCATACTTTCTTGGAGGACTTTCAAACGGTCTGAGGCTTTTATAGATGATAGTGCTTGATGAGATGCCTTGATTTAGTCAAAGTGTCCGTATGACAGGTAGCATTCACCGCAGATTAGGCAGAAATCTCACGAGATATTTCATCGTTGTCACGTGTCTTGACAATGATAAATGGGTGCATCTGGAGAGAGTTATTTCATCAAAATTGAAAATTTGTCTTTGATGGAGATGATAGATTGAAAGCAAAAGATACCAGTCAGGGTTTTCTGTTTTTTGGATTTGATAGTCAGGATACTGGAAAGATATGAAAACTTTAATTTGTGAAATGCTAAAATATATTTTTTCCTTCTCATGCTCGCTCTCTCTCTCTCTCTCTCTCTCTCTATCTCCCTCTTCCTCTTTGTCTCTGTCTCTCTGTTGTATCTCCTCTCTTTCTCTCTTCTCTTTCTCTCTTCTCTCTTCTCTTTCTCTCTTCTCTCTCTCTCTCTCTCTCTCTCTCTCTTTCTCTAAACCAGCCTCTCTATTTTTCTTATATTCCCTGTCTGTCTGTATCTCTGTCCGTATGTCCCCTCTCTCTCCCCCCCCCCCTTCTCTCTGTCTGTCTCTTTTTTATGCTGTCTTTTCTGTGTACTGCTTAATCTGTGGTCCTTTTCTTTTATATTACTCCTCATGTTCTATATTTTCTGCATGTATTTTATTCCTTTAAACCCCTCCTTTTGGTACCTGTATACTCCTACAAGGAGTCATGTAGGACGAGTTTACTCACCTCCCGGGCTTGCCCCTATACAAATTTCAGTACGCTTACACGCGAGCTCGTCAGCGTGCTCGCCAACGAGTTCGTTGACGAGCAAGCAGACGAACTCGCCAGCGAGCTCGTTTCGTTCCAAATATGCAAATTAGCTACGAACTCGTTGGCGTGCTCGTTGGCGAGCTCGTTGGCGTGCTCGAAATATACACGCTCGTCACTGGCCGATAAGCTCGTTGGCGAGCTCGTCGGCGAGTTCGTCAACGAGTTCGTCGGCGAGTTCGTCAACGAGTTCGTCGACGAGCTCGTCGGCGAGTTCGTCGACAATCTCGTGGAAAAAATGGCTGCACGCTTTATAATGGCGTGCTTAACAGCAGGTTGGCATTGAGAACAAATTTGTGTCTACATATAGAGGTGAACTTGATGATCCTGTTGAGCTATTGGCAAGCATATATATATATTTATCTAACTTATCAGCCTTTCAATATCCATCAGCCTTTCAATATCCTGGTAACATCTGCAGGCTGGCCATGCAAGGGCAATTCAGTTGGCTAGCTGGTGAAGAATACAGTGATACTCTTAGGGCAATTTAAAAGCTCATTACTTCTGGGATATCAATCAATTAAATCACTAATATATCAAAGAACAGAAAGAAAAGATATAACATAAAATGTAACTTAAAACAAGTAGCTCTTTATTAGAGTCAATACAAACCCTGTATAATACATGTTACCTGTATGCATGGTTCACAACCTCACACAACAATATGAATGAATAAATGATTTCCAAATTATATAATTACACTGTATAATGAAATTAAATATGTGAGTAATTACACTGTATAATACTCTGCCTTTGAA